TTATGCCGTCAGCCAATCCAGCGTAACGTGACAACACGTTACTCTGTGACAGAGCAAGTCATGCAATCGCTGCAAGACATCGGCAGGATTGTGAAGAATGTGACGGACCCTGCTCGATCCACAATTGAATCAGTGAAGAAAATTCGTCCGGGTTTTATAAACGAGTGCAAGATAATCACCAGGAATACAGAAGGAGAAGTGTGTCCCACAAGAATCGAGTCTATTGATGTTAGAATCAAAGATGCGGAAGGCAACGAGGTGGAAATGAAAGTGTCTGAAGAGCAAACTGGAAAATACCGTGTGAGTTTTAAACCACAACAAAATGGACGGCACGAAATTCAGGTGAATATTGGAAGAGAAAGGATCATGAACTCGCCTCAGAACGCAGATATACTCGATGTGAAGGAGTTGTTCAAACCTTTGAAAGTCTTTGGACGAAGTGGAATTGATAAAGGACAGTTTAATTATCCATGTTCGATAGCAGTCAGTGATAATGGAGAGATAGCCATTGCTGAATGGGGTAATCACCGTATTCAAATATTCAGTCTTGATGGAAACTATTTAAGAAAGTTTGTCATCAGAAGAACAAGAGAAGGTCAACGGTATTATCCATGTGGAGTGATGTTTAATGGAGACAGCCGAATAATTCTTAGTGAATATGCAACAGATGGTAAAGACAGGATGCGAGAGTTAAACTTAAACGGTTCTTGTATCAAAACCATCTACAGACATGACCAATGGTTTGCACCGCGTGGAATGTGTGTTAATGATGATAAAAACATCGCAGTGTGCTGTCGGGGAAAACAAGAACTGGGTATCAAACCTAGTATCAAGGTGTTCAGTAAACAAGGAGATTTAGTTCATGAGTTTGATATGCCTGATAATAATGGACAGCCCTGGTACATCACCTATGGTAACGGCAAATACTTTGTATCTTATTATGACATAAACTATGTTAGTGTTTTTGATGTGAATGGAGTTTTCTTGTACAAGTTTGGGGAAGAGGGAGAAAGAGACGGTCAGTTTAATGGTGTACATGGACTGGCTGTTTATGGTCCAGACATGATTCTTGTCTGTGATCGTTATAATAACCGTGTTCAACTTTTCACACAAGAAGGTCAGTTTATAAGGTCATTTGGTGCTGGATACGGTTCAGGTGTTGGTCAGATGGCTGGTCCTATCGATGTAGTAGTTACAGCTGATGGTCGAGTGTTTGTGGTAGAATGTTTGGGTGGTAGAGTTACTGTTTGGTTTTAATAGAGATACCAACCATTCAACACTTTTGAAAACACATCTATATACCTCTCATGAGTACAGTGAAATTCTAATAACACTTTCAATATTTTTTCCACTTGAGAAAAACATTGATTTTGTCTCATCACTGACGAGTTAATTTGAAATTAGTATTTCTTAGTTTTCTAGATTCTCTTTGCTTTTCCAAAAAAATATCAAGAAATTTTTATACATTTTTTAAAAATTCTTTTTAACTTGTTGTCCTAAAAGTAACTTTATCAGAAATTTTTAGTTTCTTATATCATTTTCATAAGTTAAAAAAAAAGTTTTCAGCTGTGTATTAGCTAATTCGATCTCTCTCTCTACATTTATTAGAAGTTTGAATGTCAATTTTAGCAAGACGCAATGTTAGAATAACCCAGGTAGCATTTTGATGTACATCTAAAGGACTAGTTACGTTAGTTTTAGATTGAACTATTATCATGTTCTGTGAGATATAGACTTGCCCCAAGTCGACCTCTCTTGTTTTCTCGGCGTTTTTTTAATTCGAAGTCTGAGTGAGATACTGTGATATTAGTATTAGCTGATCAGCTGTTTGATATCTGATATAGTAGACTGATAGTAGTTTGATTATTACCATTGGATATTAGTCTTAGCTATAGATGATCAGCTGCGCTTTGATGTCTGATATTGCCAACCATGTCGTACATGTTTATTAGCAAAGAAAAATAATTGGTTTGAAAATAAATTAAATTTAGTTAGTTAATGATTAAAAATATTCTTTATGTAAGTTGTGATATGCGTTTTAAGTTGTTTTATTATTATGTTAATTATTTTTATTACATTTCATTTTATTTCAAAAATTTCTACAAGGATCACGAAACATTTGTCTTTTATTGTTTAAAAGGCATTAAATAATTGAAACCGTTCATAGTCAATTTTCCACGATAGCTGAATACATGTTGAGATATTCGATCTAGCTAATTTTCAAGCTTGTGGGACATAGCAACGGTAACTAGGGGGAGTCGGAACCTTGAATTGTTTAGGGGAATATAAATTGCGTTTTCTTGATATGATAAATGTATATTAATATAATAAATATTTTGTTAATATAATAAATATTTTATTCAAGTCTAAAAACCAGACTCGAATCGAAATTCCCCCTAAATGCTTGTAACATTTCTTGTAGTAAATCATTTACGTATCTATTTTACAGGGATGAAATTAGTTTAACAAATCGATGGTAGCCAGCTCATACACCTACTCAGGCTTCACTTGAAAGGCTTCTGGGAAGCAGTTGATTCATTGCAAACTCACTAAATCCTTGCCTTCAACCACAGCGCAACAGCACGGCGCGTGTAATAGAAGTGACTGGGTGCGGCGAGTGTGTATCAAAAACCTCGTGAAAAAATATCCCACACCCTGTTGTTTGCTAAGCACCTATTCTAGTACCTAATTTGTCTTTGAAGCCTGGTGCAACATGTAAAATATATCTACCCATAATCGTTATCGCTCTCTTTAGCTTTTCAGGTGGATAACTTTATTGAACTAAGTATATAACTCGAAGCGCGTAACTCGATGAATACCCGATCCCTAATGGCAATCAGTTGACAAACCAGCGGCATTTCGATAAGCGTAGCATCAAAACGAGACCGATCGGGTTGAGCCTCAAATCTTCGAGAGATCACAAATTTTTGATTGATATCATTGTTAACGAAGTATTTTTTCGCCTTTCTAAATATGATCAAACAATATATAGCTTTAATTTGGATGTATGAACAGAGTTTTGGATTCAGAAAACAAGGAGTTCAATCTGCATTTGCTACCGAGCAAAGTTCGTAATTTGCCTCAGAAAAGCCACTTAGAAAGAACACTTCAGTAAATTATTATTATAATTTCAAGTCTAAATGCATTTTTAAGCCTCTTGGAGAACAGGAGATTTGTCTGAAGCCAGTATCTGTGCTACAAAGTTTGCCTTTACCGTAGAAAAGCTACTGAGATAGAAACGGAGTAACCGTTGGTACGGCCAAACATGCGCAGACTTATAAGCTATCTTTGATTACGGCAGTCGAATTTTTGGTAATTTAAAAAGCTTGAACTCAACTATCCCTATGTTTGTTAAGAAATAATAAGTGATACATAAGTCATTGTCCATGCAAGTTTGGGTAATGTTTTCTGGTCTTTTATGCTGGTCACAGAATTCTTGTTTTGAAGCCGTGTGTAAGTTTATAGTCTGCTAGTAGTGATCATCGAATTATTCGGCACTTATTTGGTAACTGTCCGTACTTAAGTTTCCGAGTTTGCAAAGCTATTGGCTTGCTTTTTCTAAACGAGGATAGGGTGGTAAAGATTCGAACAACTTTTTTAAACATAGTTGAAAAAACTAAAGAATAAAATTGACTGCCGTACGAATAATAAAGCTTAGTGGCTTAATAAAGCATTCATGTTCGAAATACCGRCTATGAAAGTCGGGTTAACTGTTCACTGTGAAACGGCTAAAAAAATAACTGTTAACTGAGAATACCGTACTTTTTTAGCTGATGGGATCGACGGGATAACTGATAACTGTTTATTCTTTTTAATTCAAAAGCTATTTGAGGCCATTCACCATCATATCGCCTTGTGTTAGTTGATACTCAGTTACGTATTTATTGTTGATGTAAAAGAGTTGAGTTGACCTTTGATCACTTTCCGTCGATTTGCTCAGTGGACGCTTTGGCCAGTATGAATAGTGGTATCGTTAAAGTTCTTGTTAGCTATTATAGGAAGGACGAGGAAGCTCCGCTCGAGCGGCGTCACCGAAGTCGAGTACCCATTGACTTTGCTCTACAATCCTCTGTGCCACAATTAAAACAGCATTTAGGCGAATTTCTTGGCCACAAGGAGCAGGCAACAACGCACGGTCTTGTGAATTTTCACTTAAAGCTCTACCGGCTTTCAAAAGTGCCAGGAAAGATCGAAAACTACGCCATTAATAGTGATAGTTTGTGGGCTTTAGAACTGCCGATTCTTTTGGGTGAGGAAACAAACGAATTAAACGGTATGTATGCGTAAAAACGTTATAGTTTGTTTGCTAATACACGGGCATTTATAAAGTAGTTGTCTGTCACAGCAGGTAGTCAATAATGAGTTAAAAAATTAAAGATATATATGTTCCATAAATATACTG